ACTGTTTCAGCTCTGTGAAAGAAACATAATTTCTTTTCTTCTATTGATATTCAGGTTCCAAAATGAACAAGTGGCCTTAATTTGCAAAACTGGGAAAGATACTTGGGATCGGTATGCTACTTTATAGCTGCACAATAGCACCATAGGCTGCTTAGACACAGACTTCTGTTCTGTACTTCATTCGCTTTCGTTATAACGTATTGACATTTTCTGTCAGGGCCACTGCCAGGATTTACAGGGCCTGGGACAAAGTATGGAAGCCTTCTGCTTAGTAGCTTAGAAATGTGTAATGTTGCTTAAGCCACATACTTTACACCATGACCCAGACAGCCTCTTACTGTTGCCTCAGTTCCACTACTTTCCAAGTCTCCCCCATTTCTGAACAACATATGATAGACATGTTGCAAAGTAAATCGATAGATCTTGGTCTACCCTCCCTAAGACCTGAGATGTGCCCTGGCAGTGGCCCTGGGTTTTTCTTTCTAACATGGCTGTGCTAACCTGGAGGAAGACAAGAGCAGAGCTGTTGAGAATGCTTTATCATTTACTGTTTGTACACTGTTATATTATACTGCAGAAAGTTAAAATCTTGGAGGAGGCAGCTATCAATCCTTAGGGTTGTTAGTAACGAACAAAGCAGGTTAATATTGCAAAAATAATCTCCCTGGATTTTTATTTGTTGGGGTAGGGGGTGGTTGGGCTTTTTTGAGCTTTAGCAATGCCCGCACCTTTTATTCACTGATTCATGCATGTGCATGGGGTGATTTTGGTGACTATCTGGACAACGGAATTCCATGAATTCAACTCAGAAGTAGCCAAAGCATTTCTTAAAACAGATAGAAAAAGTTGGTCAGTTGATGTGTTAGTGCCAGCATGCCTCCACCCAGAGTCACAGTGGTACCTGAACAATGAAACCTGAGCAGCATGCTCAGGACTTAATAAGTATTGAGTGACATTCTTGGGGTAAAGCAAAATTTGTAGACATCACTCTTGCTCAGAGATCACGAGAAAGCATTTTAAATTCTTCATAGATATTTTTTAAATAACTTGCTCATTTTTGCAAATGAATTTGTTAGGACCTGACTGAAGAATGAGTGAAGCCATCAGTTCAGTGGACAAAGCTTCAGGTTCATGGTGGGGTCTCATCAGTGCTCCAGGGGAGCTGTCAAACAATGTTCAAAAGTCACTTTAAAGAGTCATTTTAAAGTCATTAATTGTGTTAATGTTTTATCTGGCTACAAAAGGCAAAGGGTTGGAGTTTTTCCTCTTCAGAGGCTTCAGTCTGGCCTCTGATGTCACCTATGCAGCATTCCATCTTGACCTTAGACCCAAATTCTTCTCTTTTGTTACAGGGTAGTGAAATAATTCAACTGACCGTAATTCAGTGTCTTTTTTGGGCAGCTGCAAGTTAGCAAGGAGGGGTATTTATGAATACCCACATATATATGTGTATACACATGTATTACAGACGTGTGTACTTCTGCTTGCTAAATATATATACCTGCACATGCATATACATATGAATATGTATAGCCATAAATATCCTTTCAGTCTTTCTACAAATTTTCTTTTGATTTACTTAGTATTACAAATGCCATTATAACAATTTTTACCAAAAAGGGACATTACATCATAAAATAATAGTAAGTAGAAACAGAATCCAGCACTGAGAGGTCTGGTATACATTTAAACATTAATCAGTAAATAAAGTGCATGCAAAATTATAGTTCTAAAAATACAAATGGAGAGTGCTACACCACTTTCTTATGCCACAGTCTTAGCAAAGCCTCTTTGAACCTAAACAGATTTTCATCTTCCAAGAGACATGCATTTATCTCTACCCCCTACGTTATCTGTTTCTGCCTTGGAAATTACGAGGATAGGGGTGAGCAAAGAAGCTGTTCTTTCAACATATGTTCTAAGTGAAAAGAAAAATTAAAATGTCAGATTACATTTTAATACCTTATCTCTTTGTAGCTTTTCAAAGCATTCTTCTACAGCTGTTTGCTAAGCATCTGTGATGGTAATCTATATTTCCTCAGCTGCAGGTATCTTTTGTTATCAGCTTTTTTATGTGTCTGGCTAATGCTCCCTTCTAGTGAATGTCACTTATGAGATCATAAATGTAATAATTATCATTTACAGCCTTAAAAAAAAGCCACCACCAAGTCTACCACAAAGGGATTATGCTTCAGGTAAGGCTGTATTAATGTAAATTTAAACTGCATGTCTATGTAAATTTGTTATCTATATGCCTAACAGTATTTCAGCTATACATTGCCTCATAATTTGTTTTTAATGAGAGAACAGGATACCATTAACAACAACTCTGAAGGTAGTTAACACCTCTGAAATGAAAGGCTAGCAAAAAATACCGAGTAGCTATTCTTTCAAAATCAGTCTGTATGTAGGCTGCCGTAAAAAATGGAGGAGAATTTGCATCCAGTCCCTTCTTGCTAGAAACTGTGATGTGAAAATAAGTAGGGAAAGAAAAAGAAAAAATAGATCATCACAGATTCAAAATCTTAATACTATCAATGTAAAAATGACATCATGAGTTATCTTAGAGTTAGAACTCTACTTGCTTATCATACAGCACTGCCCACAAACTATTTCATGGCTATTTTTACAAGTTAGCAGCCATCTTGTTAAGGCAACAACTGAAGCAAAGAGAAGAGAGTTTGGAAGTTATCAGATAAGTGTAGCACGTTTAACATGAACACTTATAATAAGTGTGCTGTCTTGGAGCTTTATCCAAGAAACAAATTGCAGAGCCCAGAGGTCAGCAATAGTTTCATAACCTAGAAACTGTCACCCCTACTTAAAAATGAGATGCATTACCAGGACACTGTGGGTAAAGTGCATGCTCCTCTATTTGGACCATTTGCAGTTTGGCATTTTCTAATGCTTTCCCAACAGCCCTGAAACAGTTTGTCAAAAACAGGCAAGACAGATGTGTTGCTCTGAACTGTTTAGGAAATTATTTCCACTCTTTTTAAAGTGAATATGATAAGTATAGATTGTCTAAGATAAACGTTTATGTTCACTATTCCATCTCCTTAAATAATCTTATGTTTGGTTTAGAGCATGCAGACAATGAAGAGGAACAGTGGTCAGATGATTTTGTAAGTACATATTTTGGGGTAGTCGGAGGTTACTGTAGCAACAAGTTAGCACGAGAAATAATAAGAAAAGTTTGGGTTTGAATCATCTAGTTGTGGTTGAACTTAATACTACTGAAGTATTACCTTATTTGTCACATCAGCTTTATTCACAAGTAGCCACTAACTTTTAGCTACCTCCATTTTTTTACATTCAGCTTAGAAGTACTTTCAGAAGCACTGTCAATGGCAGCCATGGATGCTTAGCTTTTTGGATAGTAAGCACATGGCATCAATTTGAGGAACTTCTCAAACTGAAAAATAATTTCAGAAACCAGTAAGATCTTTTATTTGGTGGAGGGGAGGGTAGGAGGGGTAAGGAGAGGAAAGCCACTTCTTAAAAATGCAAAACTTCTGCTAAGCTATTAGGAAGCACTGGAATGAAGCCAGTCATGGCCATCAGCCATGTAAAGTAATGGTGCAACTGTCAGCCTTAAGTGACCAGTTTCCTTCTGGAGTTAGATCTTGATTACCATTTTAATAGGAAAGGGAGAGGAAGTGACAAGACACAGCAAGAATCCCAGCTGGAACTAGAAGGGAACTGTTCTGTGAAGGGAAACAAGCTTTTGATCCATAATTTGAAGGCTGAGCTCTTGAGGTGAAAGGACTCTTTGGAGATTGCAAGAAGACAGGGAACAGGAAGTTCCTGGGAGGAGCAGAAGGGGAGGCAGGTGGAAGTGCCTTTTTGTTTAAAGAGGAAGCACTAAAAGGGGATGTAATGTGTACTTTCAAGGATAGATTGTTGTAATTTAGTTATTGACTCCTGCAAGGATATTTGTGTTGTACATTGCTGTGAAGCCATAAGTATGTTACAAGATGAGAAATGGGAAGTTCTGTCTTTCTAGGACAGTGATTATGAAAATCCAGATGACCACTCTGACTCTGAGATGTACGTGGTGCCCAGTGAAGAGAATCCTGATGACAGCTATGAGCCACCTCCAAGTGAGAAGGAGAAAAAGAAGATTCCCTCTGCTTTCCCTATTTCTAGGGGTGAATATGCAGGTAGTTATGGAACAGTTGACTATGTCAACTTGATAATTGCTTATTGATCAGTACCAGAATAGAAGTGGCCTCAAATAGACTAGCCTGTCCTTTCCTAAAGAGTTTGCTTTTAACTCTGACAGTCGGGTCTTCAACATTCAGGGGTAGGGATTTTTATTATTACAGCATGAAACAAGTTATTAATCATGGTAGTTAAGTTTAGAATTTTAATATAATGTGTCCTAGAGACTTTCATATACATCCACTAACTACAAAAGTCAAGCAAAGTTATGGAAGAGATCACTAATTTGGCTCCAGATTAATCCACACATGATGATGCAGGAATTCATATTAAAGATTAGGCACAGTAGACAGGTCGCTTCTTAGTCTTCTCTATTTCCCCAAACATTATTCCAAAAGCAGTAAAACAGAGGACAAAGTAGCCCAAATATTCATTCCATATTGTCCTTGAAGACTGGTACTGAGGATGATAAATATCCTGAAAAACAGGACAGGATGAAGACTGTATTTACATCCATCCAGTGTAGAGGCAATTTTTTTCTTTCTGTTTCGATTCTTTTCAACTATGGAGAGATTGCATTGAAGTGAATGAAAGTTAGCTTCAGTTAGGTGAAGATTTGAGACACTTGGAAAAGAAACGTTGACATGATGCCTGCTTTCACTTTTGTATGATACAAAACTGTTACTGGTTGCAGAATATTTATTTATCAAAGTGCTAAAATACCACATATGTACTCACAGAAGTTTATCAGCACTTCATTTATGTGTTCTTTGTAAAGGCAGTTGTTAGAATGACACCCCAGAGAACCTGGCATAATTCGTGTTCCAGTCCCACCCTTTGTGCTGTGTAACTGTTGTTTTTCTCATATGTCAGATGTGTTCTTTCTCAATTCCTCACCAAAGTTCATACCAGCACAGGACATATTAATGAAAGGACTACACCACCCGGCCATGAGGTGTGTGAGCTGTTTCCCCAAGGAGTTTAACAGCTGTTAATAGGACAGTCAGTGCCGAAGTAACCTCTGCAGCCTGTTACAGAGGGCTAGGTTGCCACCTTGAGCAATGAAATAGGACCAGTTTACACACAATTCTCAACATCAGGACCAGCTATGCTCAGGTCTGCCTTTAGACCTGAGCTACAGCCACAAGTAAAGACTTGTTTGCACAGGTAGTAGAAGACAGTGCAGAGGTTAATGTGTAATTTTGGCTAAAATTTTTGGTTTTTTCCACGTTAAAAGACAATCGCACCAGTCACCAGCAGCTTCCTCCCATCAACAAACCTCTTCCAAGTACACCCAGTCCAGCCATGTCCAGACCAAAGAAACCATGTGTGCCGTCCCTGCCACTGCCATCTCCTGCTGCAAAACCAAAAGTACCACCAAAGCCTAAGGAGTGTAGTGATGATGAGGTAAAGTTTACATATATACTTGTTTTGACTGTTTAAATGTCTGATGACCCCAGACCAGTAAGACAGATCAGAGCAATGCCATGACCTGGCCTCTTTCTTAGCCCTTATGGAAAATCACTTTGTACATCACAATGACCTGTGAGTACCGTACTGATTCCTAGGGGATATCTGCCTACTCTGAGTACCAAGAAAACTCTTTAAACCACGAAGTAGCTTCTGATTAGTGGGGAGACAGTAACTTCAAAGACTACTCCAGGACCAAAAGGAAGGGAGGGCTTTCATCCACCAGTCTAGAACTGGAATTATTTGGTAAAGGGCTTTCAGTCTTTGGGAATCCCATCAACATAGGATGATAAATGTCTGAAATAGCAGTCGCTGTGAAGTGACAACTACTGTAAACTGCTGCCAGAGCTTCAATCCCAACAGTTTGTTGATATGATGGAGGTTTAACTGGTAGATTTTTGTCCTGCATTTCTCATAGGATAATTACATTGTGCCAGTGGACAATGATGACGATAACTATATTGAACCCACAGAAAGCAGCATGTCACTACCTACAAAATGTGAGTTTTGGTCATTTAAGCTAATAATTACTGTGTTACTAGGAACAACAGTGGGAAAAAAATCAATCAAGGTAATGTCTCTTTCTAGGGTTCAAAGAGTGGAGATGCAGCTATTAGAGAAAACACAGCCTGTAAAAAGGCATTTGGCTCATGACCAGGCCAAGGAAAATTATTTTTAACTTTATTATTTTTAACCTTATTGGAAACCATGTTTAATTTCTGCCTCTCTGTTATTTCTAAGTCCAGCCCTTGTACAACCAGGCACGTGATATCCCTTCTCATCCAAGGGAGCTACAGCATTAAAATTCTCTGTTTACTGAAGTGCCTCAGGAGAAAAACAAATATTTTTAAATATTTCAGATAAAGACAGGTTTTGATTGTATTTTTTTATTTTGTTTTTAATCTCACTATTTGAAGTATATTTAGCTGGAGGGTGAAATTACTACAGCCCAAAGGTGAAAAGCAAACAGAGAAGACTACATAGTTCTCCTCTCTGACATCACTGACAGTATCAAACATATTCAGGAAGGCATGAACACTGAATAATGTTTTCCTTTTAAACTAAGAGCTGCTTTCTGACTTGGTTGATTTATTCAAGGTCACACAAAAAGGCTACCACTTAGACCTACTTAATATTCGTTCTTATTGTATAAATGTTCCCTTGTTAGTTTGTAAACATATATATTTTAATATATTTATATACGTATTTTTATATATAAATAGATGTGTACACATACATAAATATATATGTATATACACACACATGCACGGGTATGTATGTACATGAATAAAATATGTTTTTAGCTCCTGGGAACAGATTTATGAAGACAACAAAGCCAGGCCCCCCTACTTCTCCAAAGCCTTCTCTTGCTTCTGATATGCAAGGTATGTGGAGTTTGTATCACTGTTAAAATAAAATAATCTAAGACTGAAGAATATTAAATCACACGTAACATATTCACAACACAAACCTTATGACATACTTCAGTAAAATCTAAATATGTTCTTCAGGTTTTTTTGTGTTGCTTGGACAGTGATTTTGTCTAGATTGAATAGTAAATCCATTTTAAGCATGAATAAAACTCAGAGCAACTTCCTTGTCCAAATTAATTCATTTTTAGTCTTTTGCTCTACTGCAAAAACAATTATAGGACTTGGTATCTTAGCAATCCCATTTCATTATAGGAATTAAGACCCAATACTCTAAGACCACATCAGGGTTTAACCATATAGAAGTTCCTTATAGGCTGATGTTTTGCATGTCCTTTGATAAGTGTTCCCATTTAAGTTCTATAAAGAGCAATTTGTCTGGAAAAAAACTCAAAAGCAGAAGCAAATAAGAGGAATCCTATTTGCTTTTGTAAGTGCAGATATAATTGTTTAATCTTCCAGTGTCAACTCAGAGTTGTTTTGTATCCTCATTATCCCATTAATTGCTTAGAATGTAACCTTTACAGACTTACCACAGATCTGTAAAAAGCTTTGCATATTCATTAGTAATATTTTTAGCTTTCAAGTCACAAACTACAAGTCATAAACTAAATTATTTTCTTAATGACTTTAGATTTTGTGAGTCACTTTCCAGACATTTTAAAATGCCCTTTTCAATCTCAGCCTTTCTGTACATCAGTGTCAAGCAACAACCAGCTCCTGACAGACATTACTGAAAAATAAAACATCTCCCCCTGGTGGGAACTCGAACACTTCAGCGCAACAAAGTGAGGAAGACTGATGTGAAATTTTTTGAAACAGGGTCCTATTTTCATTGAAGAAACTGGACATAGATAAGAATGCTTGTGGGGTTTGTTCTTAACATTTATGAATTAGAACATACCTGTGACAGTGTCAGAGCTCCAGGATGGATGCTGGCCATGCAAATGCACCAGCTTGTATTTATGATTCACCTCATCTTTTCCTCCCGGAGAGTAAAGGAAAGGCTAAATGCTAGCACAGGTGTGATAACACGTTTTTTCCAAACTATCCTGCGTTTGCACAACACAAGCATTCATCTTGCTTTGGGGGGAAAAAGAAAGAAAAGCAAAACAAAACAAAAAAAAGGTTGTGGGGTGGGTGGAAAGTTCATTAATACAACGACTGTTTATTAGAATTCCTGGGGCATTTCCTGAAGTTTCCACTAGGAGACCGGAGGTTTTGCTACTCCAGAGTTTTGGAGGCAGAATCAAGTTCTGAGCAGATTCTCCAAGTTATTTTTCCAGAGTCAGAAGTACAACTGATACAAAACAGATCGGTTTTTCTGGTAACATGCAGTACGTTTTTGCTAACCAAAGAACACTTTTTTTTTTTTTCCCCTCCTGGTCCTACAGAAGTCTACGAGGTTCCTGAAGAAGAGGTGAGGCCTTTCTGTAGTATGACTTACATTGCCCTCAGGCAGGGTACAAATGTGATTGTGAAAAAAGATTATCAGTCTTTCAAGGGGAAAAGTAGGAACAAATCTCTGTCTGCACTTAAAACTTTCTGACACTCCCTTCTCAGAAAAGCTGGCAGGTCTGCAGAACAGAGTAAATGGGAAGGGGTGGAAATTTCCCAGTCCTGTGTGATAGTTATCCAGTCGGGGAAGCAGCAGCCTAAAGGAATGCTTTTCAGAAGCAGAACTGCAGCAGTGGAGCAATGACAGTCCTGACATAGTAATTTTCTTCCCGCTTGCTGGTACTGACATGACATGGCCATAGCAGATTTACTGATGTTGAGTTCTTGCCTCTCCCATCCTGGTGCAGATTACCAGAGAGGGCTCTAATAGAAATCCATACCACGATGCAAAAATAATGTCTTGATGGGGTAACATAAATAGGGTCATACAAATGTATTTCATGAAATCAAAAAGTGACAAAAAAATTCTGTGCATTTTCTCTTACAGGAAAAACCATCACCACCACCAGTAACCAGGTAACCCATTGCTGTGAATGTTTGTGCATTATTTAAAACTTGTCAGAAAATATATTTTCTTATCTAGCTACAACAGGTTTGATAATTCTTTTTCTGGAAGATATATATGTAGTAAATATCTCTTCAGATTATCTACACAGAGATTATCAGCCATTTCTATGTTAATTTCAATAACCCAAGCACAACATATTAAAAAGAAATATTTCTTAAGGGTATGTTGTAGAATTTTGAGGGGTAGGGGAGGAGAAAGAGAGGTTTTCTTTGTATTCACAGTCGTTAAATATAATTTTCCTTCCTTAATGCATGTTTTATTACTAGGTTCACTAAGCCACTTCTGCCTATGCCTGCTCAGAATACAGAGCACTCCCACATGCACAGTATGACCAGAGAGCCACCGAAACAGGAGATGTGCAGGTAAGTCAACATTCTTAGATCAATAGGAAATATTAGCAGAGAGAAGATTTTCTTCTCTCTAATGTGTAGCCTTCTGACAACAAACAGTTGTCCGGACACTCACTGGTACAAGGTGAGAACTGAAAGCCCTGGTTTCCTTGTGAACTTCTGTAGTCAAGCCAGTTTGCCAAAAGGATAAGTATTTTCTCGAATATCCCTTTAGATATCCAGTGCAGGGATAAAATATCTCTGCAAGCCAGTTTAAAGTCCTATTAGCCATCTCTGCACCCTTGCAAATGCAGTGTTTTTGCAGGGGCAAAGGATTGCTTGTAAAGAAACTGGACACAGTAAATCCAGAATTTGTATTCCAAGCCTCTGGAGGAAAAGAGAAAAAGGACTCTTGAGCATGCAGCCTACTTCACTCCTGTGTCCCCAGAAGTGTAGGAAGCTACATTATAACCCCTGCCTCATCTCTAGGACATTGCTTTACAAAATAGGCCATGTGCCCCAGGAAGAGCAGATGGCCTCTACAACTCTGTGTGTGTTGTGATGTTTGGTGAGGTCCTGCACAGTCACAGGGGACCTGAGGTCCAGGACAGAAGCTATTCTGGAGTAGTTCCACACCAAGAGCACAGCATCACCACAGCCACTGCAGCGCTGCATAGGTGGAATTAAATCCATTTACAGGAGACCTCCTTCTCTCTAGATCTTGAAAAGCATATCTGAGCCAAAAAATTACACAAATAAATCCTACTCAGTTTTATTTTGTATGTTTTTCAGAAATATTTTGCCTCTTCCCAGAAGTCGTTTTCATCCAAAAACAGTGAGTAATCAATGGGCCACTATAAAAGAATGTGTTAAACTTGGGTTGTGTTTTGTATATATGGATGCTTTTTATTATCTGGATTAAGTAACAGAAACATATGACCCAATGTCAGATTCATCTAATATTGTAATTGTTGCTATCAATCTTTTGCACAAAAGAGCACTGGACATCTGTATTGATCCAAGAAAAAGTTTAAATGTTTAAGGGATATATTTCTCAGTCCACAAAAATAATTTCTTGGATTACAAAATACCAGTTGAACACCAGGAACATTAAGTAGCAAAGGGCAGTTTTGCCCAGTCTGAAGTACCTTTCTTGAGCCTCATTCCTCTCAGATGATGAATGATTAATGCTTTCTGAAAATGGAAATGTTCTAAAATGTCAGACTGGGTAGTCTGAGTAACCAGTATCACTAGAAAATGCAGTCCATGAAGAACTAATTATAAGCTTTGGGTTCCTAAGGCTGTGTTTCAGTGAATTCTGTTCTCTCTCTACTCTTGTCCTCAGTCTGTCCCTTCCACTGTGCTGTTTTTTGAAGTAAACTACTTGGAAACTTGTCTAACTGCAGAAATGAGCAAAAGCAAACGCATAAAAGATTCTTTTTCAGCCAGATTAGTTACATAAATTGTTTTGCACCATAGCTCTACTCACAGTTCTTCCAGCACGAGAGTGTGAATGAGGAGCCAGCTATCAAGAAACAGGGTGACAGTAACTGCATCACTGTCTGTGCCAAAAGCCATGTGCATCAAACTGCATCCTGGCCCAATGCTCTGAGTTGCCCCTAAGAAATAATCAGTCTACCAAGAGATATATAGAGAAATTAGACACTCAAAATTAGGAATTTGGGGTCATATAATAGGATTAGCTGTTATGGTAACAGTGCAGGTAGTATATGAGTCTTATTTTCAGTTCCTATATACACACCAAGTATTTTGTACATACAACAGTATCAGCAATTTAGTTTCCCTTCCACCCCACCAGAAATTTCTTCCCATTTAGATCCATATCCCATGGGATGCTGAACAATTCCCAAGTTTTGCCAAGTTCAGGATTTCTCTTCTACAAAACAGTTTCTCAGCTTTTCTTACCAATACAAGATAAGGAAAAAAAATGCTTCTGAAGGGACAGTGTTGGACAGAAATTTCTCTATCTGAGCAGCGCTAAGAATACTACTCGTGCTTCAGAACAGACTGGAGTGCCATATTACAGCTGAAACCTCTCCATTAATGTATTGTCAGAGCTTAGCTGTGAGATGGATATCACCCCAGCTTTGCAGAGAGCAAAAGGAGACTATCCTTTTGCTGGAGCCACATACTGAGTTAGTTACAGCTCCAAGGCTGAAGCTCCCAAACAAACACTCATCTGTACCATGGATGTATTCAGCTCCTGGGTCACTGCAGTTAGCAAATTTGTCACAAGAGTCAGCCTAGGAAAGAGTTACTCAGTGTAGTCCAAATTTTGGGGTCTTTGCTTGTGTAAGTGGTCAACCCTTACAGATTTAAACAAAAACATGGTAATGAGCATGATGTTTGTCAAATGCTGTGTTGTGCTTTCCCATCCCTGACTATGCACACTGACAAAGCAAACAGTAACTGAAACATCTGTTAACTGCTCCCATTCAATCCACTGTCAACACCAACCAGCACTGATCATGTGCACAGAATTGTAACCCTTGTTCCTCTCAAAGGCCTTGGCTGACTGAAAATAATTTCTCCACGTTTCACTTCCCCAACTGTTGGATGATGGATTACACCTCTCCAAACAGAGAACGGATGCATTTGACCAACATTAGTGAAAAGCCATTAACCGGGAAGATGAAGATGGACAAATTAATAAATGGTGCCTCTTTGAAAGGTACTTACCATATGGGAGTCTGATTCCCTAAAAAATAAGAAATGAGGGCCAAAAGTAAGCATCTCCAGAAGAAGCCAGGGAATGAGGTGGATCGCTTCAATTCTAGCCTAGTGTAAAAACAGTTTACTCAATTTCCTTCATTCAGTGGAAGATGTGTTTTTAGGATATTCAAATCTGCTGCAAAATTTCTGTCTTCCAGCTCAGAAATTAAATATGAACCAAAAGGTCTCACTGCAAAATTCAGGCCTAATTTTCTCAATACTACAAGCAATCTCAGGATTATTAGAATGTTTGAGTTTTGATGTTTGCTTAAAAATTTTCAAATTACATCCTAAAAGCTGACTAAAAATATTATGGATCCTATATGCATTCTGTACAAATATTTCTTTAACAATTGCTACAGATACCAAAGCCATATTGATTATTTATGCACTTCTCATTAAAGAATTATTAAGGTTGGAAAAGACCTCAAAGATTGAGTCCAGCTATTAACCCAGCCCCACTGTGTTCACCACTAAACAATATCCCAAATGCCACATCCACGCACCTTTTGAACACTTCCAGGGATGGTAACTCCACCATTTCCCTGGGCAGCCTGTTCCAATGCCTGACCACCCTTTCAGTGAAGAAATTTTTTTCTAGTATCTGATCTAAACCTCCCCTGGTGCAACTTGAGGTCATTTCCCCTTGTCCTGTCATCTGTTACCTGGGAGAGCAGACCAATTCCCACCTGGCTACAAGCTTCTTTCAGGTAGTTGTAGACAGTGATAAGGTTCCCCCAAGCCTCCTTTTCTCCAAACTAAACAACCCCAGCTCCCTCAGCCACTCTTTGTAAGACTTGTGTTCCAGATCCTCCACCAGTTTTGTTGCCCTTCTCTGGACATGTTCCAGCACCTCAGTGTCCTTCTTGTAGTGAAGGACCCAAAACTGAACACAGTAATTCCTTTTTTAGTTCCTTCAGATCAAATCTAACCTATTTTTCCATTACAGGACCATGAAGCAAACAGTAATGATGAAAGTAAGTATTCCATGTTGAAAACACGGCAGTATGAGAGGGACTGATATGCCGCAGGTGACCTTAACACAGAATGCAGTGTAGTGTGTCAGTGTAAATATTATCTGTAATGGTGAGCAACAAGCAAGAAGTGTTACTGAACTGTTTTCTAATATAATCAGAGTGAAAATATGTTAAGACAAAAACCAATGGATATTTTTTACTTCTATTACATTAACACTAAAATGGGAGTGAGGAGAATCCACTGTTCAGATACAGCTAACATTACATACTTAACATGTTGCTTGCATCTCTAGGTCAGAGATTCAATAACACACAAGAATCCAGATTTCCCACTGGAGCAGCTCCATCTCCGTTACCAAGGGGCCTGTGAGTAAAAATAATAAAACTACTTTGATGGGGAGTGATTTAATACGTATATTAGGAGCTAACTCCCATCCTTGCCTATGGCAATTGGAATTCAGGAATAATTTTGCTGTTTGAGACAGATATCCTAACTAGGGAAAGGTGAGCTAATATTTTGCTATTTCCAGAGGAATACTGTTTGTGTGGAGTAGCCCTTCACTGCCTGCCACTTATGGCAGGTGCTGGCTTGCTTAATTTAATCTCATACTGCAGCACTAGCATATGCAAGCCTAGCTGTGTTTTTCATTAAAGTTCTTCTGCCCCACCCAAGTTGTCATCTTAAGTATTGGACAGAGTGTAGCTTCCCTGCATAAGTACCTTTCCCAAATACCCCCATTACATCTGATACCCCAATTCTTTTGTTATTCTTTTTGTTTCTAACTCCTATAGCTATCCAGTGCATCCCATCTTAGATACAACCACCTTGAGAATCAATGAAACTGATTCTTAATTGCTAAATGAATTCATGTATCTGCCAAGTAACCATACTCTTTTGTTTTCTTTTTCCTCCAATTTTCAGCAAGAAAACTTCTCATGTGATAAATTCACCAGTAAGTTGACTTGTAATTGCATAATTTTGTAATTTTATTAAGTTTTTAATGTACTGTAAAACCTAATTTTATCATAAGTTTGGGTACAACTTAAATGCCTAAAAAGACAAGGGAGAAGAGAGTTATAAAGAAAGGAAATATCTGGTGCCATTACATGAACTAAGAACAGTGAGAAAGCTGAAGTGGAAAATCATTTTCATTAAAGGGATGTTTGGATTCAGTACTTTAGGATATAACAATAAACACAGAGCAAGAGCTGAAAAAATGAGAAATAAATGGGAACACCAGCCATTCAGAAGTATTCCTGGAAATATACAGGGCTGCCTATGGGGAACATGAGTTCACTGTAAGAGTGACAGGTCAAAAAATATGTGGGATTGTACCAAATTTGTTAGAGGTTTTTCAGTAAGTATTTCATCATTAGAAAAATATTCCAAAATCTCTTGTGAGAGAAAGTAAGGGGACTGGTTAAAATTTTCAGATAAATTAATTTGAAAAATGTTTCAAAACTGGCAGTTTATTATCATTGCTTCAAAATTTAAAAAAAAAAAAATTGAAACTGGAAGGTTGTTTAAGTTTTTACTCTGAGCTAAACTGACAGTTTAACTTTCAGTAAAAAGAAATCTGTTCAGACATTTGTGAGCAAAGCTCAATAAGGGTGAAAATGAAATTTTGATTCACAAGTATTTGGAATAGACTCTTCATTTTTGGGCCTGAGATAAGAATGAATCATTTGTTACACCATAAATTTACCAATGGAAGGTTAAAAAAAAAACCACGTCTCCAGATTTTACTTTGTCTGTCTATTTATATCCACAAACTGGGATTCTGTCCAAATCTATTTTGCAAAATCCTGAGCTTCAAGGTTGTACAATTAAGAGGCTCTTCAGAGAATGGCTGTCTCTGCCTTCTAATTCCTCCAGGATGTTGTCAAGTTTAAATGTAAACTAGTTCACACAAAGTATAAAAATATATACATTTGCTGTACTGGTGACATGCCATTTAATACTTGGTGTCCTTCTGTTTTATTGCAGAAACCATGTTTACCTTCCAGAGAGATCTTAACTGCAAATGAAGGTAAATTATCTCTACTACCATGGAAAAGTTGACATTTATCAGAATTAAATTTCTTTCTTATTAGAAACATGAAACAAATAACACCGCATTCAACTTGTTCTGGTTTTTTGAGGGGTGTTTGGTTTTAGCCGTTTCAGACTGGATCTGGCCAGCCTTAGCTGCACTGAATATCATTGTTCTCTAAAATCAGTCACAGTAAAACTATTGAGGTTACTGGCAGGGTAATGCAGGACAATAATGGACCAGCAATGTGCCATATAGCCCTGTGAGTGGCAAGGAGGGAAGGGAGGCGAGTCACTCAGAGCTCAGCCAGAACCACCTCACACAGAGCCGACTCCTGGCACAGGCACAAAATGCATCCCATCTCTGCTCCTCCAGGCAAAAGCTCAGCAGGAGCTGCTGTCTGACACCAGGGTGAGATGCAGCCAACCAGCCGAGCTCTTGCAGGCAGCCTGCCCCAGCGTCCTCCCCCTGTGTCACACAGCTCGCCTCTCGGAAGGAAAGTCTCCCACTGCGACCCTGCAGGCGCCCACAGCACAGCTATTTGCCTACAAATTTGGTGGTATGCCACTAGTTAACAAAGTAGCACGATGGCAAACTGCTATGTAAGGAAAAATCCCAAAAGTTTATAGTAAAAGAAACTTCAACTGCTGAGACTCTCTTATCTGAGACGGTATGTTTCTGAAGAAATCTTGACTGTAACATTTGTTTTACCAAACCACAGAAAAACCTACAGCAGCAGAACGACGACGAAGTTCCAACCAAGAGCTTCCACTTCCACCCCTTCCAAGTGGTGCACAAAAGTAAGATCCCTTTCCATCATGTTTTGAATATTTCAGTGCACCAGCACCTACTGCTTGTTCTGAACACAGCTGTGAGAGGTTCAAAGGGAAGCACTGTTTTTCACTGTAGCCTTCTGTTGCTTTTTAAGAGTTGTGGTTCCTGAAGCCTCACAGTAGCAAAAAAATAAAGCATAGCAAATGAATGCATCCAAATGCTATAACCATCACCAAAAAGCACGGGAGGATATAATCTCTCATAAGGAAGGTAATGGAGATTTAAACCAGGTTTAAATTCCTAGTATTCAGTACTAGTGGGATATCATTTTTTTAAATGCCTATATCAGACCCTTAATTTCTCAATGGACAGATGGATAAGATGGAACACATTCTATCACTGCATGCTTCAAAAACACAATTTCCATAATATCAGAACAGGGTAGATCCCCCCAGACCTTTCCATAATCTCTTGATATTTATTTCAGGCCTCTGCTCCAAAAGTTCTCAGTTCTGCCAAGTAAGTATAATTCAGTTTTTGAATTAAAATGTGACTAACTTGTAATTTCAAATTAATCTTTGACTTAAGATTATTTCAATATGCCATGCATATTAATTACTTTGGAATTAATGTATCTGTAATGCATACAAAGAGGAGATCAAGTATCCAGGGTCTCAGCTCAACTAGTAAAATTAAGGGAGTATGTCAGGGTAATTGATGGAAATTGGGTGCTTCATTTCCATTTATGACTACTGGAAATTTCTACCAAAGGCAGTTTTGGGCCATTTCCCATCATAATAAAGATTCCATCAATCTTCCTTGCCACAAAAGAATCCTGAATATGACATTTCTGGGCTGTTCCAGGCTTCTGTCGCCTAGAAGACAGACAGATTATTATTGCCTCCAATTTATTCTTTCTCTACAGGAGGCGGGGGGGGGGGGGGAAGTATTTTTATAATGGCAAATGCTAAAGCTCTTCTGTAAGTAATGTTTTCCAGGAGGGACTTTGTTTTAGTTCACAGTTAAAAACAAATTTAGGTAATATGTTTACTAACTCTCTTTGCACAGAAGTGTAAATTAGATTTAGCATTTTTCTAGTCTCTCGTTAGCAGACACTTGTCTGACCTTCCTGTAAGCCCTTTTCTCCACATGTTCAGCCTCAACGTATCTTTCACACTGTGAATAAATTGTAAGAGTTGCACGTAGAAAGCTGCATTTGGTGTAGCTTAAAGTTATATGCTGCTGTTAGTGCACCTATTTCCTGGAAATGTTTGCCTGATGTATGTTGCATATTATATCTACGCTGAGGAAGTATAATAATGGTTCACCTTAATGAAACTGTCTGATGCTCTTAAGTTTGTCTGCTCCTGTCACACAACTGATGTGCTTCAACTTAAATCATAAATTCTTACTACTCCCTGAAGTGTAACTATTTTTTGAGGTCATCTGGTGCTAAATGATGCTCTGATTAGTAAACTTTCTTTAACATAATCTTCTGTGTCAGGTCCAACAACAAGATTATCACACGTACAACTGGTTCCTAATCACTGATGTCCCTTGAGCATAACCTGTCATCTTTCCCTTGTCCCCCATACAAGCCTCGAGCTAACTTTCATCTTCTTTACTGAAAGTCCTTATTTCCCATATGGCACTGTATCCGATGCTCCACTGAAGTCCAGATTAAGTACAGTGTTCATATTCCCTCTTTGTAGAACTGTTATTTTATGAAAGAGGCGTAACATTTTATCTACTTGGGTAAGTTTCAGATTTTGTCTTGCTAGTTTTATCTTTATCTCCAAATCTTAATGTTATTTCCTTCAGATTCTCTCCCGGGGCCTTGTTCTGTGGAATCAGACAGAAAGGCCTGTAAATGCTCAGCTCACTTTTTCCATTTTTAGATACTGCAGTTATGTTTGGTATCCTTTAATCATATGGTACCATCCTGACTTGAAAATTATTTAAAATTACTGTTACCACCCCTGAATTTCATGTGCCAGTTTTTGAAATTTCTGGGATAAAGACTATGTGGGCCCATCAGTTCAATTGTACTAAGTTATTTAGGCTTTGCTTCCAGTTTGGTTGTGGAAATTTCCATTTCTATATCAGAACTACTATTTGTTTAGTACCTAGATTACCTTTAAAATCAATAAAATTGTCATTGCATAAAGCCCCATCTCTCTTTCCTTTTTCACACAGCTGAGAAATCTTACATTACTTATTTCAATGTCCTTTTGTCAAGTTTAATTTGGGCTGACTTCTGGCAATTCTTACTTTATTCATACAATCTACTTCTCAATGGTAGCTTTTGCAGCTGGTCAGTCAAAACTTTAGAGAAAACCCCAAAATTCTTAATATTGAATATCCTTCTTTGAGTGTTTTCTAATTCACTGAGAGCTGGAACTGCTCCTTACAATGTCTCCCCTCTACTTGAAATGCAGCTTCCAGACAGCTGCATCTGCAGAAGAAGTTTTATACCTATTTCACAGAGCTGTCTCTGAGCTCTCCAGTCCAATTGAATTTTTTAACTCTGGCCACTATATGGGCTCATCTATAACACTCTTATTCCTTTCTAAACTGAAATCTAAGTCAGAATTGTATTAGTGTAGATTTGATAATGCAGTCTGCAGAGCATCATGTCCAGTAATAGGTGAGTGCTAACAATCCTAGCAGCATTTGTTTTCCCCAATAAGTAAAACACACAGGAAATAAAGCTTCCCATAAGAACAAAATACGTAACACATAACTTTCTACAATCATCTTCTCTTGTACATTGATCTGCACTAAATTCTGTTCAGAAGTACCTGTAGCAGACACTTATACTCTTGGACCAAGATTCTGTTTTACCCAAAAACAATTATCTATATTTATATCCCATATCTCTCTCATATTACTAAGCAATGCTACTCAAACATTTGGCTCCTGATTTCCTAAACTCTGACATCTGTACTTCAGCCCTAATAACTATTTTCCACATTGCTTTGTTATTACAATTATAATTAAGCTTCATAATCTTTCCTACTAATTCCACTTCTCTATTTAGTAGCCTGGGCTTCTTGCACATGCATACAAACAATTCAGTGAAAAATTATCTCTGAGCTACACTCATTTTCCCAACTCCCTCACCTATATGACTGCTTCTCACACTGGACTGAATGCTATTTGCACTGTGTTCCTGCATTTTCTTATCTATTGCTACATACTTGGGTGGTGCTGGAGTTTTTTCTTGTACCCTAAGTCTAGATCTGGCTATTAACCAAACTGTTAACCAAACTGGTTTTCTATTCATAAGTAAGGCTACTCTTCTGGGCAGGCAAGTGTCCCAGCACTTATATAGGACCCATCCATTTACAGCAGACAGCTTTCCTGAGTGATATCAAAGGTCAAGCATTTCCAGATCTTGTAACAAATCAATTTCTTACATTATAACAAACGTACTCTGAAAACTTATACATGTTGTTCTTTCTCTTTTCTAGAAGTGCCAGAAGCTGCAAACCGTTCTCTGGGCACTTCCCCTCAAAGCAGCACTTCATCTATTGCAACTTCTGCAGATCAGGTATAACATTAGCTAATTTCATATCACAGAAATCTTCTTACCCTTTATTTGAAAACAGTATTTCCATCCCTACTCCCCTTCAAAATAAAAATGACGCTCCTTTTGTGGAGGGCATTTATGTCCCCTTTTGCAGTGAGGATTTTCTGTAGCACAGAAAAATCTGAATGTTAACTTGCATTATAAAAATGCTTACAACATATAGCATAGGATGCCTCCCCCCCATTTGTTTTAGCATTTCCCAAGACCTACTCCTTTCAGTTCCTTTAACCAGATCTCATTACAGTTAATGCTGTCACTTTTATGGCCAATTCTTCTTTTATGTGTTTTGTTTCAACATTAATCTTTGAATAATCTAAGCAAATGCAAAGTTAGTTTCATTTCAGTACTATTTCCCTTACTCTAATTTTGCATGAAGGGAGACTACAAAATGCAGGAAGTCATTCTTACTAGCTTAATAGTCATAAACAAGAGTAAAACAAAGGCTCTATCATGCACAGTCAGTGACATTAAATGTTTTAAAGCCTGGCATGACAAAGATAATGCAACAGTGAAGAACACAAAGGATTTCAAGTTCTGGAAAAATTTTAACTGTATGTCATACTGGATATTTATTATAAAAATAACTTTCAAATAAGCAATCCAGCAGACTCTAAATAAACAGCTTGTAGCAATTACATTTTTAGTTTTTATGTAACAGCCATGGGCAAACCCAAAGCTTAATAAAACATCAATTTCGTAAAAAAAAAAAAAAATTAACCATTAGTGTTATTTTTCCACTAATTATGTACAGTGGTATAATTTGCTGTAGCATCCTGCCCAATACAGGTGCTCGCAGATGTCATTCATTCCCAGGAGGCTCACTATTTGTTTGGTTCCCATCCAAACTTTGACAGCAGTTGTCTGCTGCTTCATTATAGGCCACAGATAGTGGTAGCAGAAAAGTCTGGGGCATTTGACTCCTTGTTTTGCTGAACAAAAGATTTGTCTGCTGGACTCATTCTCTACATGGATAAGTACCTTTCATACTTGCAATTCTTCTCATCCTTTCTTTTTCCAATGAATAGTGTAACTGAAGAAATACATGGAAGAACTCTGAAGATAAAGTTATATGTCATGGCTTGAGCCAGTCTAAGAATTTAGCGCAATGCTCTCTCCTAGTGTCAACTCCTCTCCCAGCCACAGACTTCTCTGGTGTTCTTTTCTGATCTTGCAGTGGGCTGAGCCAAGTCATTAAACTGCCAGAAAACCAACCTGGCAGTCAAACACAAAACAAGGCAAAACAAAAAGGAAAGCAGATATGTTTTTTTTCTCCTGCAAAATTAATGAAGTGAATTATCTCACCATGGGATCAGATGAGCAACAAAATGAGCACAAAGGAGAAGCCAAGACATTCTCTTTTTGGCAGCAATAATCCAGCTAGACCAGCTCAGCCTTAATGTGCAACTTCAGCTTTCATCTGTTTTGTGCAGAGGTGATAAAGCTTTTGTGAAAATAATTTTCTCATTAAGCTTGTTACTGTAAAGTTGGAGCAAAACTGTACAAATAACCAGAAAGGTTAATACCAAGATGTATTCATTAGGAAATACTCTTAGTACTATCTCTATAGCCTTTCCACTCACTTAGATTTTACATCAACCTCCTCAGCAAGAGCTCACTTTTCATGACTGCTGGTTTGATAACCTACCTAGCTATTGAAGTCTGATAATGCATAGGCCTCATGTTGCTTCTAATCCCTCATCCTGTCCTTCCTTTTCAAAATTCTCCAAAATCCTCCATACCTTTCCCCTAAACTCCACTCCTGTTCCCCACATATATGCTCATTCCTGCAGCATTTTACTACCCAGTTTTCTACCATTACTTCTCTCACTCAAATTATACTCTCCCATATATATACCACTCCCAACTGCCATCACCTCCTCACATCTTTTTATCTTTATACTTCCTGTGCTATGAGAGATTCTATCTTCTAAAATAGAATCCACAAAATTTTAGGGTGTCAGTCTTTCTACCATGTACCTTTAGGTCTGCACCTGTTATCCCATCCTTGTTTGTCCTCTGTCCCATGTTTCCCACTGGAAGAATAGGTTTAAGTTCACTTGCTGTGCAGCACACTGCCAAACATTTAACAGAATGGAGAGAAGGTGGATAATGTTGGTGAGATGTTTACAGAGGATAACATACAGAAATGAGGGACCCAAGAAATGTTATAAAAATATAAGCCACTCTTCTGTTTGGTCACAGGTAAACATAGTTTTATGCCTTTTAGATAAGAGCACTGCTTCAAGTGTAAGGATACATTCAGACTCAATCCAACAGAGAACCAGAACTGAATCCATGTCTTGGGTGAAAGCACTGTGGGCTGAATTACTATTAGAGGAAAGACATTAATTATTGCTAAGTTTTGTAAGGACTCCATTCATTTGTCCTTACTTAATAACAACAAAAAAAGCAAAATATGCACTTATCCAACCTTCATGATACCCAGGTGGAGACAATTATAATTGTGTTCACAAATAGCATTAAGTGTTCAGGAAACATAATTTCCAAAGATGCCTACCAAATCTGAACACCTCCTTAGCTAGCCCACAGCTGAGCAGCATTTAAATTGTTAACCGTGTATTTATTCCTCTACACTTCTTGGATACCCTCTTCAAATTTGACTAGAATAGCTTCCTTCTTTAAAAATACCAAACTATTCTCCAGCTGAACCTGACTGCTTTTCTCAGGGTATCCCTCTTTAGTCATTTATCAGCCTTCTATCACACATCTGCTACCCCTGCTTTGACACTCCAGATTTTCTTTGTCCTATCTCTGTCCAACTAAAACAGTGAGCTCATGGCAAAGACTTTTCTCAACTCTGTTTTCTGAATTTTAGTTCTTCCCAGCCGTCATTATTTAGTGGTAACTCCCCTACAGGGCATATTCATTATCATTATTATTTTACAGGTAAAACATTGTTTCTCTCTTCTAGGATGCTGGTGTTCACAGTAAAGCATGGTATGCTGCTACCTGTGATAGGAAAATGGCAGAAGATGCATTGTACCGATCAAACAGGGTAGGTCACCTATAAAAAATGTCTGGTTTATGGAAAAAAAAAATTCCAATTAAAAAAAATCAGAAGACAATCAAAAATATTCTAAGAACATCACTTGTATTCTGAATAAGTCAGAGTACTGTGCCATGCAAGTACTGTCAAATATCAAACCTGAAATTATTGTGGTGAAACTAACTGTGGTTTCATCACAAGGCAAAGTTGCATTAGTGTAACTCAGTAACAGGAGCCCCATGGAGAAAGCTGTTACAGACTGGAGAGCTGAGGAAGACCTGATAGCTCACGAGCACCCCTTAAAAGAAATGCAAAGCCCCGTGACTTTTAAGTGACCTCCACCACTGTCCAACGGCTCGTGTGAAAACAGCTTCTGTTTGGACAAGCTGAGGTTGCCACGCATTTTGAAATACCAACACTATGCATTTACGTACTCAGAGAATATGAGTTCTCTCAACTATTCTATGTACAAAAGCCACTGTCCCAGGAGGCAATAGTAGAATGGAGAGTTTCATCCTCAGCATCAGATACATTCCCATACTTGCCTCTCCACAAAGCAGGATGAAGTGGCAGAGCACAGGGTTTATCACCAGATGTAGGCTACTGCTCATTAGTGAGCACAGGGCTACAGTGTCAGTGCAGGTGCTTGACTTTGAGAGTGCTTTTTACAGCTCTGGAGAAACAGTATTTCCACCTCTCACTGCTTTCTTGCCTACTTACTGCCACTTCATTTCCTAATAACCTGCAAACCCCAACAGATGGCTGCCACTGTGTATTTTTTCTTTTTCTGTCTAGTTTAAAGAGAGAACAGGCAGCAGCAAAGGTGATTCTTAAAAGACACCTTTGTATGCTACTGTTAGACAGCAGGCATACATGCTACTTCTCATCTGCTGCTGTACAGTCTTTCTGATAGGAGAAAAGAGTTTAGTGCCAATATAAATTAAAATACTAAGTTAAAACCAAACTAAGTTATTTGAAAAAATAAGCCAAGTATTTACTTTTCTTTCTTCAGGATGGATCTTTTCTAATAAGAAAAAGTTCTGGACAGGACTCACAGCAACCATACACACTGGTTGTGTTTTACAACAGAAGAGTATACAACATTCCTATACGATTTATTGAATCAACAAGACAATATGCACTGGGCAGAGAAAAAAGCGGTGAAGAGGTGAGATGATGAGGGGGTGTTTTTCCCAAGTTTTCAGTTATATACCTTTAATAAGAAAAGATTAAGATATAATGCACTAAGATTCTTTATGTAACAAGATAAAAGTATATGACTTTATCATGACTGATCTGTCAAGCTAGAGAAACCAGTGTAATGTCAGTTCCTGCATACTGTAATTAAAACCACAGATCAAGTTTAAAACATTCTTGTAGAACAGTTTTGAAAAAAGTTAATAAGATCAGAACTACAGCTACTAGATAAATTTTCTGACTGTTTACAGTCTTCCATTTACCTTGTATCTAAGGGTCTAGCCAAAAGTTTCTTGGAAAATTGTAAAAGAAGAACAGCCATACTCAAAGAAACCCCAAACACTTGATCAAAAATGAGGCTGACATTACTTTTAATACTGTTTTCACATTAAAAAAATGTAAAACTCTAGTTCTAGAAAAAAAAATCACTGGTTGGCTGTTATACCACACAGGTAACTGTTCTGACAGGAAAACAGAAAGGATGAGACAGCTATTGGCCATATCTTCTATGGTCCAAATTTAATGACTAGAGTCAGAATTAAAGCAGGATCAGTGCTCTTACTAAAAGCCAGAGCATCTCACTTGGTAATAGTCAAAGATCAACCATCTTCAGTGACGTGAGAAGCAAAAATAAAAAAGCATTAAAGGAAGCCAGCACTAATTATTTTTTGTTTTCTTTATCCAGCGCTTTGACAGTGTTGCTGAAATAGTAGAGAATCATCAGCGCACCTCCCTGGTTCTAATTGACAGCCAAAACAACACCAAAGACTCAACAAAACTGAAACACATTGTAAGAGTTTCTTAATTAAACTGAACTGCTAAAATGAAGTCTTTTTTAATCATTTCTTTCAACATCCAAAGACATGGACAAGGTATTAAAAGAAGAAAAATCCAAAATAATGGAAAACTCTTTAAGAGCACCTACTGAGTAGTGAGAGATGCAGTTCACAGAGTTCAACCCCACTTCACTTTTATCAGAAAAGCATTCACATTTAACACAGGAAGCCAAAGCAGATATACTCTCATCTGTGATTTCCATCTGGGACACCACAGGTATCCAAAGTCATGTGAAGAACAACTGCATATCACAGCCTGGTTCTTTGACTGCTGTTTAAAGACACATATCCTCTAGGACATTTTCATTTGGAAAATTAGAATACCCACCACTTTTTCTATTTGTTTACCACAGATCACTGCTTTCAGCATTTTCTTTGTAAAGGGCACATCCCCAGAAATTAGACCAAATTGACCTAATGTACCACTGTGCACAAGTTGAAAATAGGACTGTATTTTATGTGATTCGTGGCAGCAGAGGTGCCTCAATGTTACAGATTAATGGACACGTGTTGGCCTTTCCCTCAGCTTTACCGTGTTTCATTGATATTTTTGTTTATATTTTCAAATGTGCAGATAAAATAAAAAATATTGTAAAGTCAGTATTGTATGGAGACATTGCTGGATCTCATTTCTTGGTATCCTTCCAGCAAGAAAGCATCAATTTATTATTGTTGATGTTTTAATATATATATTTGTATGTGCTCCTTCAGAAGTTGTTATGAAAACTATCCCTTTTTACAGCTTTAGCATGTATTATATATTTGGCTTAATGGCTCTCAAATCTTTTGTCTTTAATTGCCTACTGTTGGCGACTCAAGTGCACTCCTTCATTGCTGAACTAATTAACCACTCAATTCTTGCAGAATTACTGTTTATGGACACACACACACAAAAACCCACTTTTTTTTCCAGGCCTATCACCATGCTTTACTTATTGTATTACTGTGTGAACCAAGCAAATTTGCACAAATGTTCAAAGGGTAGAAATTAATGTGATGAATGGATAAATTGCAAAAAAACCCTTTTAGGAACAGTTAATTCGTTCTGGAGGTGTTTGATTTCACTGGACCTGAAAACTCATCCATCTTAAAGGTATTTTCCAAAACTGACACTTTATACATGCATTTTGTTCTTTTTGTTCCAGGTTAGGCAGTGTTCTCTAGGATTACCTGCAAGGCATTTAAGGCAAGATTGAGTCAAGACTTGTGAAGTCCCAGCAAGTCACTTAGAGCCAGATTGTAGCTGTATTCTGCAACTACTTTCTTGTGCCTTTGATCAGTTACTTCTGCAAGGAATGCACGTGTCTTCTACAAAGAACTGCCTGCTAATGCGATGTTCAGCACATGCCTACCTACCTTGCAGCATCTCAGTGTCTTCCCTCTGCAACCCAGGCAATAGTTTAGCCCAGATGTAAAGCAAGTAAGAAACAATGTACACAGACTTTGCACAAGCCTGCCTGTGAGAGTCTGCTCCCATTACAACATAAATGTAATGTTTAGTACAAGCTCATTTGGTATTAATTAGTGTTATGGTCAAGGTCTCAAAATTAACAAGTTAGTAGTTCCTGCAAGTTTAATTTACTCCTTCTGTATATGTACTCATATTATTTAGCTACTTTAAGCATCATTTTAAAAGCTTACTGACAATGGGAAGTACTCTGTGAAAAAGCAGCCACTCAAAATTTAAGTAGACTCCTTGGCTATTCACTCATGTATTACAGAGTATTTAAACTTTGTACTAACAAAACTGCCTGTCTGCTAACCTTTCTGTGTTGCTTCTCACAGACGTCTTAAGCTCTTCAGACACTGCCTTCTGAGTTAAGTACCACCATCATTCTAGAACTGGGAAGGGGGGAAATGTGAACAAGCGTCAAATTCAAGCGTACCTACAGACTTCCATATGAGAGATTCAGTATCTAATTTTTTAAGGTAATTAGCACTACTGAGCACTTAAAAGCACTGCTGCTCCTGTCCACCAGCTCTAAGTACTCAGCACTACATGTAGCATTGTGGCTGACCTACAAATAACTAGTATCCTCTTGGCAAAGGTGCAGTTACATTCACCCTCAAACTCTTTTGCTTTTATCCATGTTCTACATGATTACAGTGGTATCACATAGTTTTGACAACAAAATTAGGCAAGGAGTTGATAGGCAATCCCACCTTCCACAAAATAATCCATTCAGCCTGAGAGGAGAACATCCTAGGCACAAAATAGGGCTCTATAGAGGAAAAAAAGCCACAAACCACCAAACACACAAACTCACCAGTATGGGATCACCTATTTTACTATACTCAGTGTTTTATACAGGAAGAAAGGAAGCAGACTAGTTACTCTGCTTTCCATACCCAAGCAAGATCTTTTATAGCTTGGCAGGAACGTGGTGCTGACATGCTTTGAAACACAGTTTTAGCCAGAAAAGAGAAAGGTTTAAGCAAGTTTCAGGTATAGGATTGGCCCAAGGTACCATTTCCTAGATTCTGGACATAAAATAAATTGGCCCTCAGGATGAAGTATGGTACCTTAGAAATCCCAGTGCTGTGGATTGAGCAGCTGTTACAAAATGTGGGAGGTGGTGACTTGGGGCAGGTGTTGCAGTGCCAGCCATCATGTTAATGCCGTCACGTGTTTGCACCAGGTAGCAGCTAAGGAAGTCTAACCTGACAGACATAGCAACACATCTATCGCCTCGTATTTCTCTGATATTGTTAGCCAATTTCTCTTCCATATAATTGTCATTACCTGAAAAGTACCTAAAACTGGAACTAAGCTTTACAATGAAGTATTTTTTTTTTTTTGTCTGAGAACTCAGGACAAAGTATTCTTTTTAATAATGTACAGAGAAGTGTTGTCTGCCTACCTGATGCAGAGAGTACAATGAGTACTGCACATCATTCCTGACAATGATGCTCCATGAAAGGAATAAGAATTTCCATTCTCACAAATTCAAGTGCTCAGCTACATTATAAAATTACTTTCCTCCTTCAATCAAAACCACCAGCAGAAGCCAGAAGTTAAGAAGTGCTGTAAAAAAAAACACCACATCTCACATGACAACTGCTCTGTAACAAGTTTTTGTTGATACACTGGAATTGCTGAGGAAGGGCAACTATGACTTACTGATGAATACACATCTTGAAGAATATACAGTGGGCTAGATGTTAGGCCCCCTCAAGGGCTAACACAAATATTGTACTAACAGTTGAAAACCCTGCACTTGCATCTATTTCTGTGTGTCCCAAAACGCTATAACCAACTTAAGGTTTTCTTATCTTGCTACGTGTTCAATGTTACAAGCTGTCTTAAAGTCTTATGGTTGCAAACTCAAGCACTCTTCAAATTAGGCTACCTGTGCAACCGTAATTTGTCATATCAGATTTATCCATTACAATACAAGCATTAAATATAATTATTCTTCCATGTGGAGTTACATATTTCACTTGGTTCAAAAAATATTCCATGGATAAATTATAGCCATGTAATGAAAGACTGTTTTGTAGGGTATTTGTAAGGTACCTTATCCATTTACTGAAGATGCTGAGAAATGCATCGACATTGCAGGAGTTAGGCAGTAAAAAGGTAGCTTCATATGTTAAAGCAATTGAACATTTCTTTGAAGAACTGACCTGAACCTTCTACTGCACCATCCACTGTGACACCAGTCAGACTCCTTAAGCCAGATTTTCTCCTGACGCCATTAATTGTGATCTTAATTTCTTTGAAGTCTCACATTAAGTTCTCTGAAATCTGATCTACAGAAGTGCCAGACTCTTAGGACCTCAAACAAAGCATTATGGAAAAGCTCATAAGAATAAAAGAATTATGTATTCAGAACAGTACTTGAGCAATGTGTGCTAAATAATACAAGGACAGTAATTAAGGGTGGGGAAACAAAATATTAAATCTCTACTCAGGAGGAGCTGTTCTCTACACTGAATGAGATGGATGTCCGTGGATAAAGTGACACAACCGTGAACTAATATTGTATAAAGCAAAGTTATTTCAACATTTCCTAGTTTTACAGTGTTCTTTTTCACAGAACCACTTAAGGTTACTCAATTCTTAGGAGAACAAGCCAGCGAGAAAAAAATTCCAGTGACAATTGTAACTCTCACGATTCATAAATATAGACAAACCCTCCTACAGCAGAACTTCCATCTTGGTGCTACGTTAATTGTCCACTAAAACTGGTCATCCTTGCTGAAGTTGCACTAAGTAGGTTTAGCAAATCGCTTTATAGATATTTTGCCAAAGAAGGCAAAGGCAATATGCAAAATTCACAGGTTCAGCTTCAGGGTTTATAGGAGAGCAAGCTGAGGCAGATGAGCTTGATCCTTCCAGTCAAAAGAGCTTAACATGCTTTTGTCCTTTCTTGTCAACGTACTTCCTCACCACTACACTAGTCATCTTCAAAGTTCCTAGCCAAATTAATGTCAGAGCTCAAACCCATTGTGCAGCACAAAACAATCTAATTTTGACACAAAAGACATACCAACTGTATGTAATACCAACACACGCCAACCTGCAATTCACCCAAACTATGCTGCCTTGACTGCTTCAGTTGGCTCCCATACATAACCCATCAGCTAAAGCTAGTGTGCCTCTTCCTGCCAACAGACACATAAACAAAAACATATCTAGCCAATGGTTTGGGGTTTTTTTAATCATTTTAACACTTTTTAAAACAGAAGCTGAATTCAGGTTAGTGGACATGCCTGTGACATCCACGAAAGAGTTCAAACTGTTTCATTGGTGGAAAGGCAGTCTTCATTTTCACCTTACGGAAATAGTCACAGACAACTACCTGGGCTTGCATACAATCTAAAATCCCCAAGATTTAAATACCCCAGTCCTCTCCAAGCCCAGTAGTCAATTTTGGAAATTTTTCCATCACTACTTTGGGAAGCTGACTGGCACACCTAAGATGTAATCCTCCCGTACTTGGGCAAAAGGTCTGGAACTTCCACCCTCGAGCTTCATTAAGAATCTGAAGGACAAAGCCTCTACACATAATAATTACTGTGGATAATAAGGAGCTCCACCTGTGTACTCTCAGTCACTATGGATACAGACTTTTGTTTACATACTCTCATAAACATTAAAAAATGTGAAGCATATTCTCTCTTCATCATCATCCCCAAAAGTGTAAGTAGGAAGCCAGCAGGCTCCTAAGAACATTACCCTACTGGCTGGTAAAATGAGGGAGGAGTGACTCAAGCCTTGGTTTTGCCAAACCCCTGGTACCCTATAAAGGTCCACCTGGGACAAAACTATAATGCAGTTACAGGCCTGAAATGGTGCTTTGCACTTCCCAATACTGGGTTTGTGGCAGACATAGCAAGACAGGAATATTTTCTATAAATGCTCACGGTCATCTTCTGTAAACACAAGTTGTATCAAATTTAATAGTGACAAAGTCAATACAGATTAGGAATGTTCACCATTCTTTAACACCATATACATTATGAATATATATACTGTATATTTTCAATTGATTTTATTCTGACTCGCCGTATTAACACAAACATAACGTTTTATTAATTTATATGAAAAATACTTCACTAAGAAAGTAGACAAACTGCACAGAAATAGTACAAGTGTCATGTGCATAGAAATATAGCTTAAAGCATTCACATATGGCTTTGTTTAAATGAAACTGTTGGGGAAATGGCCCTATACAGACCCACGGTTACACAGTCGACATAATGTAAACTGCTTCACATCTTTGAGGCACTTGCTAACAATAGTGTTCAATCCCTGAAAAACAAAATCAAGAGCTCATAAGTGAAAATAACAAAAATCCCAGGATAACAACTGCATGTATCTGAAAAGATTTTAAAAACTGGTTTTAGTAGTGCATGCACAGAACTGAAAAATGGGGGAGGGGGTATAATTTCTGTGCAAGAATTATACCAAGTAACTGAAAAGTATAAAAATATTTACATGTTTAGGGATTTTTAAATATGTACAGAACAAAAGCCCTGAAGATTCATTCTATAGAATAAAAATATAGCACATGATAGTAGTAATAAAAAATAATATATCTTTTTATGGAATTGTATTTGCAATTAGTTACAAGTTATTTAAACCACAAAGCTCCTTGATCTTTCTCAAAGCTGATGCCAATAGGGAATATGCTCTTTTTTTTAAAACACAAACACTTTGCATCATTTTTGAACTTCAGTTACAATACTGACATAAAAACCAAAATCACTTGTGTATCCTGATTCAACCGAATATTTTTTGAAGAACTTTAATGCTTGGTATTTAAGTTTGATATTCTTTACTGGTCATCGTTAACAAATTCCAATCTCGAGTAGCCTCCATCAGATGTCTCTGTCCATGTCCTACCCAATTATCCTGATTGTCAAATATTCTACCACAAAACCAGCAGCTAAATTTAGCTTTCAAGGTATTATTAGAGGTAGTTTTCACAATCTGGTAATTGTTTTTGCTAGTCTTTTTCAGTGTCAATTTTAAGACAAATCTTTCTTTTACAGGGCTAATAGGTTTTATTGTCCTGTATCTTTTTTGAGAAAAAACATCAGTAGTTACATCCAAAGGATTGCAGAAGGCTGGCTGCAGAAGCGCTTCAAGAGTTCTTTTTGACAATGAAACCTTAAGAACATGTCCCTTAAATTTAGCAATGGTTTTCATTAGATTTACAACTTCCGGGACATCTACATCAGGATGGTTAAGCACAACAACTGGTTGGTTTCTCCGAGGGCATTTTACAAGCTGGTTAGAATTAAAAGGAAGTAATTTCAAAGTCCTCACGGTTTTTTTTGATGCCCTTTGTTTGTAGGGGCTATCCAATTCACTAACAACTGCAGCTTGATTCTTTTCCTTACACTTTCTGTGCAACATTACTTTCTTTCTTGGAGGTTCTGGGCAACTGGCCTTCCTTTTACGTTTGAAATTCCTATTTCTTTGCACACCCCGAGTTTCTGAACTTTTAGAGCCCCTTTGTTTTAAACGAGGTTTTGCTTTTGCAGTTCTGTTTTGGGTGCTCCATGTGGACTTCTGACAACCGAAGTTATTCCTGTTGTTAGCAGTTATTACTTGTGTACTCTCAATAGAACCATTCTGCAATCGTGTCCCTGCAGATTTAGTAGAATAAACAGGTTCCACAGGAGGAACACAACATGCTGGATTAGAGCTTGCCAAAGAGGCATTTGCTGGCATTAACTCACCTGGTAAGATTAAGGCATTATTAAAACTAAGATTAGTTTGTTTCTGTGCTAGTGCAGGAGTAAGGAACTGCAAGTTATCCACCTGTAGCGAGGGCACTGAGTTGCTCACTGACTGAGTGGTATCAGCCAGTGTATCTGAAGTAGGAGGCTTCATTTTCAGCAAAAGCTGTTGTTGCATGGCTCCAGTTTTCTTTGGTTGACAATTTTGATGATGAGCAGTATCCTGAAAAAAAACTGGTTTACGAACTACAGGCTTGTTTGGTGTCATACATTTCAGAAAAGCTCCCTGCTGTCCATCAGGCGAAAGTGCATAAACATCTTGTTCCTGTTTAATTTCCCGTTGGTTTACTGACTCTAAAGAACCAAAGACAGCATCCTGATGCTCTGATAACACTTTCACAGAAGAAATTCCTTTCACAGATGACTCCAATGTAGTTAGAGGAGATCTTCTGAATGGCATGCTATTCAACGAATCATTTGCTGAACAAGCTTCCCTGTTACAGGAACTTCTTACATTTCCAAAATTGTCATTTTCCCCCTTCACTTTTGAAGTTGATATGGTTATTTTACTGAATTCTCTGGATGCAATTCCCCCTAAAACCTGAGAACTATCATTAGCGGCACTTGCAGCTGTTCCAACTGCCCCGCTAAAAGTCAAACTCATTCCAGGCCCTTTACTTGAAGGAAAAGATGCAGGTACATCTTCAGTCACATGCCCATCTGACGAACTGGTTGATGGAAGAGAATTTCCTGAAGCCACCTGTTGTCCAGGCTGGGTAGCAAGGTGCAAAGGAACAAAAAATCCTGATGGAAGGGACTTAAAGAAAAGGGTTTTCTTTTGTTCCTGATGAACAGGTAAAACTGGTGAAAAGCCACTGGGATTCTGAGCCGCAGACAGTATTTTCTCTTTTACTAACTGCTGTGTTATGACTGAATCTGTGCGAGTTTTTAGCAATGTACCAGCACCCGGAGTTATGGATAATTTGTCCACACCCTGTGAATCAAATGATGTTCTGGATGTCTGTCTTTCGCTCCCACAATGTGTACCTTCATTTGTGCTACATCTTGTGTTCGGCTCTCTCTTATATTCTACATTAGAAGGAGGCCTCTGAAAACCACATGTAGTTGCAAAGTTTTTTAGATTCATGAAGGCTGTATCCCTGGTCTCATGACCAGAAAGCAGCTTGTCAGAATGAAGTTTTACACAGTTATTTGTCTTGCTGTGGAACTCTTGCTGAGAAGTTGTTTTCACTTCTAACACATCTTGCAGTATCTGTTTTATTTCAGGCGATAAATAACTAGCTGCTTGTTCACTTTGTAAGGAGAAAACAGACGTGATTTTAGGCATTAAGAAAGAGTTAACGCAATCAGAGGCATTTTCTTGGAATTTCTCAGCTACGTTCTGAAAGCCTTGATCTATGTTAGTGTCCAAATACTGCTGGCCATGATGCTGGTCCTCCATAAAACACTCGCTGTCAACACCACACTTAGATTGGCTTTTAAGAGACACAGAGTTATTTTTAGTGTTTATATGTTCGTAAGTTTTATTAATATTTGATTGGGCTGACACAACTTTCTCTGCTTTTAAGCCTTTCATCGACTCTGAATATGAAGATGCAGATTCACTTCCACTGTTTTGAAAAGAAACCGTTTTGCTAGCTGCAAATTTTTTGCGTCTGTCATCTCTTGACACCCAAATGCTACGTGGATTATCCAAAAAGTCCATTTTGGAATAGTTGTGAAAAGACAACAACTTTCCCTTAACAGGATCCATTAAAGTTGAATAAGGATTATCAGTTCCATTACTATTATTCAGGTCACCATTTTGCATTTTCACTTCAGGAAAAAAGGGCATTTTCACAGGGTCATAATGAAGCATATTTGTCGTGGCGGGTGGTAATACCTGAGGATGACTGGAAGGGCTGAAGTTTCCCCATGAAACACTGTTTTGAGTTCCAACTTTTGTTACCTTGTCATGTGGAGGTACAGTTAAGCCCAACTTCATTGGCAAACAATTTGAACTTTTTCCTACAGCTATATTAGAAGGTGCTACAGTTTCAGAAACACTCCTGCCATACAATGTGGAGTTATTTTGGTTTTCCACTTCTATCTTTCCTGAATGACGTGCAGGACAAGAAAATGGAGGGGAGGTTAACGTGTGAACAGAATTGTTCTTTAAGGTTGACTGATCAGTTACATGTGCTATAGCACCTGAAGACAAACCACAGGGATCAGAAGTCTGTAGCAAAGGAGTTGCAGAACCATCGTTAATACGATCAGCTTCCTGACCCAAGTAATACTCATTTTGCTTGCTTGTAGGTAGTAATTTTATAACAATATGTTGTTTTCCATCTACCATTTTAAAGCCCATAAATTTAGCACTGTAATTTGCCGGAACAGATATTTGATTGTTTTTAACCATCAACACTGTTGGGCCATGAACAGCATTTTTCAGTAATCCCAGGCCGTAATTTGTTCCATCATCTGCCTTATCGTATTGTGCAGTAGTAGCAGAGAACATTCCATCCATGAAATTACAATTTTCTATGTACTTAACTTGATCTTTTTCTTCATTTTTTTCCTTGTCTTTCACACACTGGTTCAGCTCCTCAGCATTTGTCTGAATTTTATTCACACTTCTTAGAACTTGTGCATTTTCTTCTCCAGTATTGTCACTTCCACTGCTTACTTCTTTCCTTCTCCAGAATGCTTTCTTTGATGCTCCTATTTTATACCTTTTTAACACAAGCTTCAGTCCTGCTGGAGTCTTCACTATTCTTTTTTCGTATTTATCCTTTTCTGGTTTTTCTTTTGCAATAAAGTGGTCTCTATGTAAAGCTATGATGTGTTTTAAAAGATAATCTTTCCGCGATGTGCTGTAACTGCAATAATGACAACCAAAAGAAAACATACTGGTATTAACAAGATGATTATTTTGGAGCTCTTCTTCTGTGAAGTTTTCTTGGTGGCATTTTCCACATTTATAGGGAATCTCTTTATGTCTGTGAATGTGCTGAACAAACGTGCCCACATCATGGGTAGAAAATGCACATTTTTCACATTGAAAGTGACCATTTACACAATGCTTTGATATGAAATGTTTTGTCAGATCCAACAAAGTGTATATCTGTTCATTGTTACAGAGCTCACATTTTACCAAAGTGCTACGATGGATGCGTCGATGCTGTTTAAAGGACTGGAAGTCATTCGCTGAGAAGCTGCACATCTCACAAGGATACAAAGGCAACTCACCATAGTGTAACAGCTGAAAATGTTTCTGGAGATCATTTGGGCTGTATCTAACGTTATCCTTGCACTTTGTACAAGAGAAATTCACTACCTTTGCTGCAGTTTTCAACTCTTTCTCAAATTGCACTTCTGGTTGGCTTCTCTCTGAACAATCAGGATTGCTTCCATTTATTCTCTCTAGCCTTAAGGACATCCTTGTAGTTTGCTGCTTACCCTGAAAGAGTTCTCTAAACCTATCAACTTCATGTTTCATTAATACTTCATTTGGAATGTTCACCTTGGGTAATTCGATTTTCACATTTTTTAGTCCATAAGCAAGATTGACATCTAAAATTGTTGGTTGAATCCTCATACTTAAAGGATCATTCACCGGTTCTTTTTCCAAAGTAGAATCTGTAGAACAATTCCTCACAGCATTGTGATTTAATAAATTAATTTCCTTTTTATCACAAAAAAACTGTTCCTTTTCAGATGACATTTTAGGCTTTAATTTTCTTTATGTGAATTCTTGGGATTAGTTTAACTTTCTGCAGCAAATGAGACTACTGCGCCGAGTCAAAGTTCTACAACTTCCCCATTTCATTCTCCTGAAATTAAAAAACAAAGGAAATATTACTTTAGAAAGTAATGCAATTAGAACACTCATTACAATTCATTAACGAATCACATGCCAATCTTGGAAGTTATAATAGCATTTGAGGGAGAGGGGAAGGGAAAGGATGAGCCAAAAAAAATAAGCGATTACACCGTATCCTTTGTTTGTTTGCTTGTGTTGGGGTTGTTTATTGGTTCGTTGTTTGTTTGTTTTCAAAAAACATTTATATATAAAACTTGAAAAATAAGTCTTACAGAACAACATCTACCAAAAGATGAAAACACTGAAATTCCATGCCATCAAATTTTGGGTTTCTCCCATCCTGTGAGCTACTTTTTGAAAATGAAGATTGCATTTATTACTAATTTGGGATTTCACGCAAACATAAACACTCCTCTGTGACATAGATCGATAACTGAACATAGCTGAAGTACTAAAAGCAAGTCAAATTCAGCAGGATTTGGTATTTTCATTACTCAAGTCTGCTACTCTATTAGCAACTAACTATTGTGCTTAAAAAGCAAAGACAAAGAAAAACCAGAATCTGACAAAGTATCTACTCCACTAATGGAGGCAAGACCAACAACCCCAAAACCCAACACACTGATCCAGAATGAATTTTTCATCTACCTTTAGAACCAAACAAGTCTAAAGTAGTGAATAGATAAAAGTTATCTCAGGTTTCTCACCATATGTTTAATCTTTTAACGTGCATGACTGACAACAGCACTCCTCTATGGATTAAAAGGCTCAAAGAGGTATGGTCAGCATCACTGTCTCACTACAGACTTCATGTCAGTGTTTCCACAACAGGCTGCACCAACCATTTATGGCAGTTCAAGTCTATGCTTGAACATCGCTCCCACGTGTCAACACAGAATCAGCAGAAATGAAACAGCATCAAAAATAACAAATTTTTAAAAAGCAACACTGGAAAGGAAGAACTGTTTCTTCACTAGTACAACACTTTTTACTAAAAACTTTTTCTACGGTAGAAGTCATAGAGTCCCATTCTTCTTTCCTAACAAAAGTCAGTAAATTGTTAGGTGAAATCTAATCAGTGGTTCTCTCTCCACTACTCCTGTGCCCACCCTGAAGCAACACAGACTTGGAACTCATTAGATCATCTTATTTATTCACATCCAAACCGAAAACATTATCACAGCCTCTCCCTCATTGTGATGAAGTGCAAGGGCTGCTTCCAGAGCTCCAAGCCATCATAAGCAATAGCCCTAAGGTTTTCCAAATATTTTCCCATGGTCCTATGAGAAGGAAGTATCTAGCATTAGACATGCAAATACCTGACAAAGAAAATTTACAAGTCCATGTAACAACTTACTTTACAAGTTCACATATCATGTAGCAAGAAAAGCAAAGCACTTCTTTTTTTAAGCATATGCTTTACTGCATTCTTTTGGAGAAGATATTAGCATTTGTGCACAATTCCTGAATAAGCAAAACAGGCTTTGACATTTTACACAGAACCCAATATCAAATAAATTCACTTAACTGTGCTCTCCAGCCATGAGACCTGTGAGATTTCAACTACACACCTAACATTCAAAAAACTGACAAACCACAGAGATGTGCAATCCCTCCTTGGGAGTCTTTCCAAATGAATACACTCTGAGTACAGGATTTTTATTTGTCTTTTAACTCAGTGACACACTTCCCATCTTCCACAACAGAAATTATAACATGGGACATTACCCTACTTTGAGCCTTCAGAAGATGCAACTCATATGCGTTCACACTCCATTTCCACCAAAATGCGTTAAAATGGGTTCTCTTGTCAATAGTAAATCTCTTACTGGAACAGGAGCAAGCTGAACTCCCATATAAAGAATGGGTAACTAAAAATGACTTGGATTTGTTTGCTTGAAGAACTTTTTTAATACACAGATGCAACACAAAGATTACAGGTTGCATGATGCAATACATCATCCTCTTGGTAGCTGCCCATCACTAAGATTAAAATGTTATACTGTCAAACACTGACACCTGAAGTATATATACAATTAACATTCTAAAAGTCAGAAGTGGATAAAATACTGCAGAGAACAAGGCTCAGGCTTTTAACATGGGGCCAACGTGGTCTTCAACCAGGCAAAATTTCACTAACTGGATAAAACATTTATGTTTGACAAAGAGTCCCAGCTGGGCAGTTTCAAACTCAATCTGAGATCTCCTTTTACTAATTATCCTTATAAATTACAACTTAACATTGTTATTAGTGGGTACTATGCAACTATGGACAAGCACCTGCCACATGACAAATACAAATATTTACCAGAAACAACCATTAATGTACATTATCAAAGAAGTCTGACTTACACGTTAGGAAAAGACTTCAATTCTTCAACAGCTGCTTTTTTTCCATAAACACAGAAGAGGTAAATATGCAAGACTCAGAAAAGGCCACAGTCAGGAGAAATACTAAAAAAAGTTCTGAAAACAAAAAGGAAAGCTATTTTAAAAGCTGAAAAGTACAAATTCCTCACAATTTTACATTATGTGCATTTTTAATACATTGAAGACAAAAATACTGTAATATGTTCTCTCCCAAGGAACATCACCAAATACAGTATCAATATTGTATATATACAATATAACAAGGCCTATCTTAACCTTAGTTTTACCACTACATCAGGCATTTGTAAGTGATAAGCATAAACATATAACAACTTAGAAACAGGTGCCTCTGTCCACCAAATTTTAACTTGAACTCAAAAGGCATTTATCTTTTCTTCAGCAAAAATATTAATGAATTCTATAGCAAAAACCTAATTAGAAGTTCCTATAAAGTTTTGCAAGTGCCTAGGAAGGAGGCAGAATATACATTTACAGTAACAGATATAATGAACACAAACATTGAAAATATATAAGCACGTGCCACAGTTAAGTCTCACTAAAAAAAAACCAAACCAAACCACTAAGCACAAGTGAAAGTAACCACTTGAGGCTCTAAGCCTCGATTTTCTTCCTCCAAAAATGCTCAGTATGTCTTTATTTTGTTTGAAGAAAGTACACAAGCAGAGAAAGTTTTAGCTATATACTTTGATCTAATGAGAAATAAGAGACAGGAGTTAGACACTGCTAAATTAGGTAACTTTTACAGTTTTTCCATTTCGAACGAAATTCAAAATACATATCCGGGCAGGCAGTATTTTCCACAATTCTGTACATTTATTTAAATTCTACTTAGGGAAAAAAAAACACCCTGTACTGCAGCTTATCCCATGCCTCGTCCCAGCCTATGTGCCTGCAAATTTAGAGTGTCTTCATCTCTACCAAGATCTGGACACATGCAGGGACTTAACAGAACTAGATCTTAAGAAACCCATGGAGCTGGAGCGGTCATATCCGACCAGGCAGCACAACGCTGCACTTGCAAAAAGAAAAAATCACCAGATCACTCTCACAGCTCACAGACAGATACACACGCACACGGCAAACTTGCCATTCACGGAAGAGCAGCGACACCCGGCCAGCCCTGCCCATCTGCGGGCACCGCCGCCGCCTCCGCCCCGCCGGGGCTGCCGGGGCGAGAAGCGGCGAGCCCGGGGAGCGCGGGGACAGAGCCCCCGGAGCTGCCACCACCTCAGGGCGCGATCGCGGTCGCAGCGCCAGGCGCTGCCCGACAGCACGGCAGGGTCGAGGGGTCCCTCCCTGCCCTCGCCGGCTCCTCCTCGGGACCCCGCGGCCCCTCAGGCGGGCCCGGCTGCAGCACCGCCCCGCGCGGCGCCCGGCGGAGGAACACGGCACAGCGAGCCGCGGCACAGCAGCCCGGGGCAGCCCGGCATGAGGCGCCCCCGCGCCGCGGTGCCGCCTGGCCCGCCCGCCTCGTGACCCGTCCGCGGCCGCAGGGGCGGCGGGCGAGCACTATTTGATGGTGCCGCGTCCCGCCCCGCCGCGGCTGCTGCCGCCTGCCCAACCCGCTCCGCCGCCGCGCCGCGCCTGGCCGCCCCTCCCGCACGGCTCGGGGATCCCCCGCTCCCGCCCGGTGCCTCCCGCGCAGTTACCGCGGGTCCTGCCGCCCGGCGCGGCGCTGCCGGAGGCCATCACAGTTTCCATCCGGGCACTGCGGCTGCGAGCCCGGCGAGGGGCGGCCGCGGCGGAGGGATACGCGTTCACCTGGGGAGGACGGATGGCGGCCGCCGAGGGCCAAGGCGGGCGGGGCGGCACCGCCCTGCGGGACCGGCACCCCCAGACCCCGCAGCTTTCCCCTCCTCCTGCCTTTCCTCTTCCTGTTCCCCCCTTCCTCTTCCTCCTCCACCTCGGGCACGTGGCACGGCCAAGGGCACTGCCCGTCATTCCCTTGAGTGTTTGGGCGCTTCCCTGTGCCCAGGGGTGTGTTGGGGCCGATGGCGCTGGGCAGGGAGAGCTGATGCCCCTCACGAAACGCCCAGAGGGAAAGGGCTGGCCGGAGCTCTTCGTGCCCCACTCTAGACATGGGTTTGCTGACCTGCCTAGACACAACAGTAGGCAGGATACATAGGGGATGTCTGTAGGAGATGTCAGCAGTTAAAACATCCAGAACATTATACGTGGATGGGATCAGTTGATGTGTTTTAATACGCTCAGGATAACACAAAAAATCAAAGATGAAATTCAGTACAAATGGAGCGCTTGTCTTGTTGGAGCCCCAGTATCATTGCTGCTTAGAGCGGAGATAAACAGCACTTGTTATTAGTAGTGTGAGCTTCACATTTGTGCTGAGTTTTAATGCACGTGATCACCCAAAGGTTGCCAAGGAGTATGAAGGAATGGGAGAGGTAGGAACTAGAGGCACCACGGCCACAAAAGGGCGAATACCTATGGAAGAAATCGACTGTAAAGATGAGCTGTGATTGATTGAAGAGGTCGTTGAAAAGGAAATCCTCTCTCCACTTGTGAAACAGTGTTCAGAAATCAAAAGCAAAGGGTTGAAAGGTTATGCAGAGGAAAAAGCCTTTAAACCATCTCTTGAACAATTTAGCAGAGTGATTTAGCTAAAATTTTCTTGTGACATCTTACTAGTTGCAACAAAGTTTAATAAGTGCACTTTTTACTCATGTTTAATATGAGAACAAGGAGGAGTGTTGCTGTCCTTGTGCATAGAATAAGGAAAAATTAAACATGAATATATTTTTAATTCCTTGTTCCAACTGACATCACTTATTTCCCTTGTGTCCTAGACTGTAACAGAAAATTAATAGAAGCCATTTTGGGGTGGGTTTTTTGGCCCTAAAAATGTCTTCAAGAAAAGAATTATATCATTGTTGGTTCAGCTACACCCAAATGAAACAATCTATGCCAAAAACAAGCAGGGAAATGTATTCTGGTTTCTAATTCATTACATATTTCTAAGTAGTCAGAAGTGGAGATTGTACATACATACCCAGTAGTGTTTGGAGGATTTGAAAACTTAACTACAGCTGAAGAAAGAAAAAAGAAGTGTCTCAGTTCTGGCAGCAGCCCTGAAGTCAGAAAAAGAATTATCTGTGAAAATCATCAGTTTAACGAGCAGCTACAGTATCAAATTTTTGTTAGAATGCTAGTATTCGTAATCTGACATTAAAATATACATCATTCTGTCAACTTCTAATCCCAACAAATTCACATATAAGAGGGAAACAAACATTTTATCTGTATTTTATCACTTTGTTATTCAAATGTAGAACATATGTAGATGTCAAGCACAAGACAGAAAACCTGTGAGATAACACCAGCAGGAGAGAAGGAAGAAGAATGGTTAACATCTAATTTATCACATACATTGAGATTCTCTATAGCACAAGAGGGATCAAAAATTACATAAAAACACACAATTTAACTGTAAATTTCTATTGGGATTAAGATCTGTGCAGAAATATATTGGGGGAAAAAGGCGGCATACAATGGGCAAGCCCATCAAAAAGATTTACTTTGTATGGTAGCTTCTCCCAAAATTGATGAAAGAGCTCCTTAGTCATGAGAGACAGCATCCACAAAAATGCTCCCCAAAATTTCTCAGTAACAGCAGTAGTCTACAGCCTTCCCATTTGCAGGAATACGAACTGTGAAATGAGAGGCTGCCTTACCACTGAAGAGAGGACCAAGGAAAGCAAGAACTGCCTTTTTACAAAGCTCAGAGCAGAAACTAAACCAAAACCCGTCTAGGAAATCCAAGGAAGATCAAAGTCTTCTCAAGTGGAGCAGAAATAACCCTGATGATGGCAGTTGAAGCTCATGTGACATCAGGCATGAATTGTGACAGAGCACACAAATGCCAACTTACATATTTCTAAGTACTTTCATTTTATCCCTAGAGTATGATTTGTTTAAGGGGTCATCATACACTTTTAATTCAGGGGTCTTTCCAGAACCAATGAATGCTGCATGATGACTAAAATAACTCTCTATTATTTTTTCTTTATAGTGTGATTTTTATTATTGTTTCTATTAATTCTGTATTTCTGATGTTTTAAAATCAAAAATGTCATGCTTTACATGGGCGTTCACAAACAATAGTATTACATCCCTGGTATAATTTAGATATCCAGTTTATTTATGGATAGCGGGATGGATTGAAACAATTTATTTCATAATCTGCTAGACTATCAGAAATTATTTATATCAGAAGTTATTTATATCAGATAATTATCTACATCAAATAATTGGGACTGATGGAAGTATTTCCTCAGAAACACTTGGGGAAGAAAAATATTCCCTTTTCAAAAACGTGTGCTAAGGCAAATACATGGATGATAAATGATTTTATGGAGTCTTCATTTTCTAAAGAAAACCACTTTTTAATGTGAAGTTGCACATGTGTTTGCCTGAAATCATTGAATTCGGTCATGCATAGGAAAGAGCTTCTTTCTGAGTTGAAATAGTAATAAAGCGTTGCTGCTAGTGTGTTCCATTTTTGAATTACAAGAAAGTGGAACTAACTGGCTAAAAGTGGAAACATTGTTTCAGTTAGATTTTCACATCTGTGATTATTCACATTATTGTTACATGTAATAGAAAAATCTCAAAAAATTTTTTGATCTATGGCAACTTTTAGTCTTGGTTCTCTCACATTTTTTGCTCAATCTAGCATGAATTTAAACTAATAAAGTTGACAGAATACCATATAATAAATCAATATATTCATGTATTCTAAGCTTTCTTTTGGGTTTTATCGCTTTGCTCTGTAAGGACATAAGAGTTATTAGTAAATAGTTCTTTTGTTCAGCTCATAAATCCTGTAGGAAAATTGGTGTCCTATATGCCTCTTCTATTCTTTCACTTAAAGTGCAAGAAAGTTACATCTCAGACATAATCATGCAG